TAGCTTATTGTCATAATCAATAATACTTTTTGAATAAATGATGAAATAAATAGATGAATGAACCACTGCAGCTCTCATATAACTCTGCCTTTTTCCAGACTCTGTTGTGCTTTCAGTTAGTCCTTCTGTTTAGGATTTAATTTTTTTATAGTTATTTATAATTGTTCTTCTCTTAGACTTTTCTGAAGATTCTGTTCTCCTTAGCATGATCCTGTCTCTGTCACTGACATACACTAAATATTTTCTGATTTCTGGATAGATAACTTATGGAACATTTTAGGTGTACATTTTAATTCCTCCTTCCACTCTGAGTTTTGCTATAAAATGAGTTTTTCTCCTAAAGTGAACTTTCCAGAGTAACTAGAGTCATTAGGAATGGTGAGAATTTCCCCATTTTTTTGTCTTTGTCCTTTAAAATACAGGTCCTACTGGGCGGTAGTGCATATTCTAAAAGAGAAGAACTAGAATTTCTGTACAGGTCACAGAGAGGACATTCTTCCATTGTTCTTTCTAGCTCTGAACTGAAAAAAATAAGTTTTTGAACTAAAATACCTGAGCATCCTTTTCAAAATGGTGATCACAAGAGATCTTCAGTGTAAACATTTTGATCTCAGTTGTCTTTAGCTATTGTGAAAATCCTTGTTTTTAATGGCGGCTTTACATTGCTGTAGTTTTAGAAACGCCGTATGATTCCAGTCTTAGAAACGAAGAATTTATCATTGCTAGAAATAAGAGTGAAACCTGATTAGTCTTTTGTTCATGAAAAGAGGGAGAGGAAGCAATTACTATACTGTAGGGTGAAGAGAACTGAGGCTGCTTCCTGTCAGTATGCCCCTGGATTCACCCTACATCTCTGTGGAATGATCAGTATGGTTAGAAGCCTGGGCAATATCACTTTATCTACCAACTCAGTGCTTCTCAGGGAGGGGCAATTTTGTCCTCTAGGGGATATCTGGCCATGTCTGGAGACACTTGTTTCATAAGTGACAGTAGAGGGGGTCGTTGCTACCAGCATGTAGTAGGTAGAGGCCATCCATAATGTGCAGGGCAGTCCCTCACAACAAAAAATTACCACCCTAATGTCAAGAGGACCAGGGTCAAGAAGTTGAAATTACCAATCAACAAAAAAGTTTTCTGTAGTGATAGTAACAAGTACTCATTAGATAATTGTCATTTATGGAATATCTATATATGCCAGGCTTGTTATACTCACAGCTCCTCTGTCTCAGTCAGGATCCCACCCCGGGCTGTTTGAGGTCGGTGTCTCTACTCTTTCTCCTTGCCTGTTCAGCATGGGTGCATTTTATCTGGACATCAGCGTATCTACCCTGTTTCCTGTGATTTATGTGGATCCAATTGTGTATTTAGTGCATATTGTGTAATAGACTCACAGGAGAAAGCTGTGAAGCGAGAGACCAGTTGTCACTATGGGTGCGAAGCTAAACATCCTAGCAAACAGGCTTGGATCTGTAATTTCATAGTTGAGCTAAACTATCTAGGCAGGGCGATAGCACAGAGCCTGGCCCTTAGTAGGTACTTAAATATTTCTTTCTTTTTTTTTGAGACAGAGCCTCAAGCTGTCCCCCTGGGTAGATTGCTGTGGCATCACAGCTCATAGCAACCTCCAACTCCTGGGCTCAAGCGAGTCTCTTGCCTCCGCCTCCCAAGTAGCTGGGACCACAGGCACTTGCCACAATGCCTGGCTATTTTTTTTTTTTTTTGGTTGCAGCCATCATTGTTGTTTGGCGGGCCGGGGCTGGATTCAAACCCGCCACCTTAGGTGTATGTGGCTGATGCCTTAGCCACTTGAGCCGAGCCACTTAAATATTTCTTAGAAAATTTTTTCATCAAAGACACAGAGTCCTTGGGTAAACTTCAGATGAAGCAGGGTTTCCAAATGATCTATTCTACTATGTATCATGTAAGTCTTCGAGGAGCAGTTTCCTTATCCACAGGGACCTGGTATGTCAAGAACTATAGAGGAGTCACACTGTGTGTCTTCTCTCTTGCCCTCCGCATTTTTCTCTTCTTTTCCACTCTTCACTTTAGTCAGCCTGGCCCTGGCAAGGGCTCTTTCTTCCCTTGCCTCTTCCTCGCTTCATAGCTGTGTGCTCCTAGCACCCTCTGCTTTAGGCACTCTTGGTATTCCCTGAATTGTGCTCCTGCCAACAGTGTGCAAGGTGGGGCAGGGCAGGTGTCAGAATCTCCAGAGGAGGCATGTGCTGTGTGAAAAAGCATAATTGATGGCATGATTTTATATTTAGAAATAAGCAGGGAAAAACACAACTACAGTTGACCCTCAAACAATGTGGGATTTTCCCCCTCCCCAAAGCAATTGAAAACCTGTGTGTAACCAACATCTTTCTCAAACCAGTCCCACCTCTCAACTCTGCTTGTCTTTTGTTGGTTTAATGACACATTCTTCCTATGAACCAGGCTCAAAATCTGGCCTAACTTGATTACTTTGTTCTTTCCCCCAGGATAGCCAACCAGTCCATGGAAAGAGTAAAATCTTGCTTCAGAGAATTGATGTCTTTCTTCATGGTGTTTGGTATTTTCAAAGACACGATATCTCCCTTTCCTTCCATCCCCTTTATCCCAACCTCCTATGTCACTGCTTTCCGGATCTTCTCTTGAATTAATGATGGCAAATATATGTTGAGTACTTATATGTACTGTGCTAAGTATTTATGTTTATTACTATATTCAATGCTTACCACTGAGGCTTGGCGCCATTTTCATCATCTTGCCAAAGGAAGATACTGAAGTCTAGAGAAGTTGGGTGACTTGGCCATGGGCACACAGTGAGTAGCTGAGTTCTGACTCAGCCCAGGCCTGTTTTGTTCTAGAGGTTATGCTTATAACCAGTAAATTCTGCTGCCTCTTTAGAATATAGGATGGTATTTAAGTAGGACAATTAGTAAATGTGAGTTTGCGTTCTTCTTTCCCTCTTTTTCTATCCCTTACATCTTCCTGAATCTAATCTAAATTTATGCAATTGCTGGGTGAGTCAGTGAATTAGTGGTCCTCTCACTGTGGATAGGCTACCACCTCAACTCCTAATTTGGAATTCAGGGCTTACAACATGTTAAACAGCATACCAAGGTGAAGTTGGTGCCTCTCCTGGTTTTGCTACTAAACATATTCTGTAATATTTGGACGAATCATTCAATAGCTAGGCCTGAGCTTCCTCCTCTGCCACTGAAAGGTTTGGTTGGTAACTTCTCCAGTTCTTTCCAGGCCTACATTTTTGTGATGGCTGGTTTTCTGCCTTCCCTTGTTTTCTCCTCCTTTGTAGCAAAAAAACCCTTCCTTCTAATACACCTTCTTCCCAAGCTCCCAGCCGTCCTCTCTGGGCTTCTGCCACTGCTTGGCCAGTGCTGCCTTTCCCTCTTCCCACTGTCTGACCCCCCTGCTAGGCTCGCTCTCCCTGGTAAGTTAGTCCTGCTCTCCTGTCTCCAGTGCTTAGATCTCCTAAATTGTAGCTTCCCTGTTTTCTGTTCATACCTTTTGTCTTTTAGATAAATAACAAATCCCTAAAGGGCTGGTTGGCTGCTCTAACGTTTCTTTTGTGTACTGTTAAGTACTAAATAGAGTGGATGACTTTAAATGGCGTATGTATTTTATAAGTAATTTTTTTTTTTTTTTTTAGAGACAGAGTCTCACTTTATCACCCTCGGTAGAGTGCGGTAGCATCACAGCTCACAGCAACCTCCAACTCCTAGGCTTAGGCGATTCTCTTGCCTGAGCCTCCTGAGTAGCTGGGACCACAGGCGCCTGCCACAACGCCTGGCTATTTTTGTTGCAGTTTGGCCGGGAGCCAGATTTGAACCCACTACTCCTGGTATATGGGGCTGGCGCCCTACTCACTGAGCCATAGGCGCCGCCCATTTTATAAGTAATTTTTTAATGATTGGATTTGGGCTTTATCTTGAGTCTATAGGGCCCATCAAGGAATTAGAATAGACAGTGGAGACAGGATTGTCTGCAGGGATGAAACTGATGGCAGATTAGTTAGGGAATTGCCACAATCCGGGGAGGGGAGTCCGTGAAGGCCTGGCCTAGTGAGAAGGTAAAGAGAAGAGGCTTGGCTAGAGCAGTGCCTCCTACTAACATCTCGAGTAGCGAGCTCCTCTCCTGAGTGGCAGAGCCCACCAGAAAGTCAGGCAAAGAGGGCTCCGGGGCAGCGAGTCTAACCCAGTATGATGGGATGGAAAAGGAGGGTTAAATTTAAGAGGTGGAGTAGAATCAGCAACCTTTCCCAGTCACTTTTTTAAAAATAACGGCCTGAAGATTTGTGGCCAGAGGATGTAAGGTTCCCGAACACATTTAATATCTGAGGCTATAAGATTTGTTTTGGATTGGAGTAGCAGCTTGTCGCCCAATCTCAGTGCATGGGGCCTGGGGAATGTTGAGGAAGTGTAGCCACTTCCCACCTGGAAATTCCACTTGAAAAAAATAAAAAGCCACCCTTAGCAGAACCTAACCTGGACTTTAAGGGAGACCCTAAAACATTTTAGCCATGACTGGCATGGTGGGAAGTAAGACGAAGCTGAAGGAAGGAGAATTGGTGAGTCTGAAATTAATTATAACGCGGCAAGGGACAAAACAGGGCTGTCGCCCTCCTAAATCTCAGGGAGACACGTCAGCTCAAGCTCAGGGCAGTTTCAGCCCGGCAGTCTGGCTGCGGGTGGCTGTGGACGGGCTCTAGGGCCCAGCGGCCCGCGGCGGAGCCCGGGTGGAGTGTAGGGTTACAGCAACTAGCCCCGGCGACCCTCCGGAGCCAGCGCGCGGGGAGCAGGGCTCGCGGGACGCTCTAGGACCCAGCAGTGGTTGTCGGGTTTGGGGCTGGAGGTGTAGCCCTGGCATTTCTCTCCTTCCTGTGTGAATGGGGCTGATTGTCGGGCGCCACTTCCCCTCGCTGCCCCCACGCCATGCCCAGCGCGCTGCTCTGCGACCGCTTTCCCCAGCCGCGGGACTGAACTAGCCATGGTCGCCTCATGTGGAAGGCAAAGTTGCGCCGGGGAACTTGTGAGCCTGCAGTGAAAGGTAACCAGCAGGGAGCAGGGAGGGCACCTCCGAGTCTCCCACGCGGACCCAGCTATCCGGTGCTCCCCTATCCTCTACTGGTCTGGGCAGAGGGCACCTCCTGGGGGCCCCGGACTGACTTTCCAGATTGTTAAAAAAAAAAAAAATTGGGTTCCACTCTCCGGGTCCCTGGCGCCTGCGGGCCCGGCCTCAGCGCCTCGCCGCCCCGCGCCCCACCGGCTACTGGGAAGTTGTGTTCCTGGGGTGCGGGTCCCCGGGTGCAGGTCTCCGGGTGCAGGCGCGGTCCGGACGCGGGCGCAGGCCTTTCCGGAGGGCGCTGCCATATGGCCGGACTCTCCGAGACGCGCCCGCGCACGGGTCTCCCAGCGAGGAAGAGGGCGGAAAGGGGTGTCCGGTGGCCGCTTCCCTCGGCTCAAGACAAAGGCGCGCATGCTGACCGGCCGGACGGGCTCCGGCGCTCGGCGCTGGACCTTTCCTGCTCGCAGGCCAGACTCGGCTCTGGCGGGTGGGGTCGGCGAAGGGGGTGCGCCCCGACCCCGAGGCTCCGATCGCGTCAGCTGCTGCTCCTTTGTTCTCCCCAGACAAGTTTCTTTGACAAACCGGGGAGTTAGATCCAGCTCTTCCTTGCCTGTTAGTGCTGCCTTTAAAAAGAATCTAGTTTCAGGGAGGAAAAAATTTAAACTTTCCAAGTGGAACTGGTTTTTCTTGGAATGTGACAATTGTGGCAGGAGAGAGATTGGCACATCGTTGGATGACAGCAGAGTGGAACTGGGGCCCTGCGCCAGGGCAGGGGCCAAACGTGCCCCCTGGGCAGCCGGGCTGGAGGACGAGGCGGCGGAACAGATGAGCCTTGGCGAGCACCTCGAAGGCCTCCGCCACCTGGACCAAGCTCTGGGCGAGGTTTCCAAGTTTCCCTCCTTAGAACCCCAGGCCGAGAATCCGCCCGGCTCCTCGCGCTTAGCTCCGGCGCCCCGCCCCGCCCTAGTCTTTTCAAATCTTATTTGGTGACAGGGAACACTTTACTTTTCCATTTTGTTTGAAGGTTTTTGCCTTTTTGGCTTCTGTATTGGTTTCCTGTTTCCAAGTGGCAAATGCTTTTTAGCCCGTCTAGTGAGTGGATCACTTGGATTGGCACGTTCGTAAGTCGGGGCCCTGATCGTGCAGCTTTGCCGTTTGCATCCAACATTTTATCCCTTTGGTCTCATAGCTCACTTGCTCTGTACGGTCATAGTTGACTATTTTCTCATTTTCTTCTTCTGAGACATGTTAGGAGAATCGAAATTGTATACTGCTTATAAAACGCCTTGGCAGTGTGGAGGGTAGCTCATACCAGAGTTTTTAATACCTCAAAGATGCTTTTGGCTACCGCAAACAATAATGTGTTAACTTGCTCACTGTGAGCGAATAAAACCAAAACAGAGAGATATTAATAGCTACAATTACAGAAAATTTCCTCTCTTTTCGGGAAGCAAAAAGTGAGGGCTTGAAACGTTTAAACCGTCATGGCTCCTTTCTTCCGAAAGTGACCTGCGGGTCACTGCCAGACTGGCTCAGATTTCCCCTGGCTGCCTAACACTCCTGGTCCCGGCAGCTAGAAATCAGACCCAGGTGACGATTAGATTCTTCCAGATTGCACCTTCTTGGGAGTCTAGAGCAACGTGCAATTTACTTCCTAGCAAGGGCCTCTGAGCATTATATTGTATCTGCTATGAACTCTATGGGAATAATGTAGGAATGATACTTAAATACATTTTGAACTGTTTTGAGGGGGCAGAAAAAGCAGTTGTTTCCTTTTGAACAAAAGGAAGGATAGCTCTGATTTGACTACAGGGATAAAAAGGGTAAGACAGAGTAGAAGGCTCAAGACAGTCTGTTTTCTTCCTGATGATGGTAGATTTAGTTCTTAGATGGTACACTTTTTCTTTGTGTGTTGCACTTTTCAAGGTAAATAAGGAAACCTTTGTAAACCTCCCCCTTTTTTCAATGCACAGAAATCTTGTCTTTTAGGTTCTATGCAGATAATGCAGGGTGAAGAATACTAATGTACCAAAGGGCTTGTGGAGATCAAAGCATTTAGAAATACATCTTTTCATGGAAGCTAATGGAGAGCTTTCAGTTTAAACGAGATTTTAAGATGCTGTCTTTAAGAAAAGCACATGAATGCAGAAATGTGAGTGATTTTATAGAAAGGCACTCTACTGATTGGACTTGAGAGTGTCTGCCCTTAGCCAGATAGTCTGGAGGCTTCTGTGGGAAGAGCTCTGCTTTTTTTGATGTCTACCCTGTGGAGAAGTGTGGACTCAGGGCCTAGGGGCAAGATGGCTGAACTAATTCAAAGGAGAGGGTAGTTTGGCTGGTGGGAATTCTGCTTAAGTATAGCCTCTAGGTACAGTGCTACATATCTTCATAGTGATTTGTGAAAATACTTTGAAAATGATAAAACACTATATTATGTAAGACTTTAAAAAATATTTAATGACATGAGACAAGGGAATTGCTGGTGAAAATTATAAAAATTAGATTTGGGGGGCCAGTAAGTTAAAAAGAAGTAACTTTGCTATACCTGCTAATATTTCTGATATGCAGGTCTGCATTTTAAATGCCTAAAATGCCTATGAAAGCAGCTCAGGTCAGGAAATTCTGTAGTGTTTGGAATAATTTTGTCATTACTATTGATAGGCTCTTATAACCCAGAATTTAGTAATAGAATCCTTGAAAAGCAAAAGCAAAGGGTAGTGTGGGGTCAAGTAAAAGGACATATTTGATTATAAGGTTTGCTAGAAATAGTCTGAGGTTGTTGAGGGTTTTTTTTGTTTTGTTTTTGGTATTTTTGTTTGTCTAGTGACTTTTTAAAAAAATTATTTTGCTGGTTTGACTTCGTTTTGCCTTGGAGAAGAGGCACAATGTAAATCTTGGCCCTTGGGAGTAAGTCAGTCCTCAGCTTTTGCTGGAAGGCAGTCATTCCTGCTCCTGGACTTATGGGTTGGTGCCAGGCAGAGTTCTTCTCTAACTTGTGAGGCCCTGGGCTCCATCCTCATGGCCAGGTCTTGTGAAACCTTAGGAATATTCATTTTGGACACTGGCATAGGACTCCTGGACTCCAAAAGGGGCTCACACATTAGACATTTTACCCTTTTAGGAGGGTGTAGGAGAGTAGCTCTAAGTTGTTGGAAATATCGCTATTAAAAGTCTAGAGAACCAGGTTTACCTTTTTTTTTTCTTTTTTTTTTCAGTTTTTGGCCAGGGCTGGGTTTGAACCTGCCATGTCCAGCATATAGGGCCCGTGCTCTACTCCTTTGAGCCACAGGCACTGCCCCAGATTTAACTTTTTAAAAACAAAGTCATGGTCCTATAGTATATGTTTAAATCTGAGTTTAGGACCTCTATTGGCCAGTGTTGCAGCTATCTGCTTCTTTTTTATTTTTTTAGGTTTTAAAAAATGTTTTATTTGGAAATTATTATAACTTCATAAGAAGTTGCAAAAATAGTAGAGAGGTCCTGTGTACCCTTCACCCGGTTTCCCCCATTGCTAACATTTTGCGTAACCATAGTACGATAGCAGAACCAGGAAACTGCCTTGGGTACAGTCCACAGAGCACGGTCGCATTTCACCATTTTTGTGTGCATACGTGTCTATTTCTACACGTGCAGTACTGCATACATATGCAGTCTTGTCACATGTAGATTCATGTAACCACCACCACAGTCAAGATACAGAAGTACAACAGCATTTCAAGGACCCTCCTTGTGCCAGCCCATGTAGTTGAACTCACCCTCTTATCCTCACCTTCTACTTTGTTCCGAAACACTAGTAACCAGTACTCTGTTCACCCTCTCTATAATCTTGTCATTTTGAGAATGTTACGTAAATAAAATCATGCAATATGTGACTTTTTTTTTTCAATGTGTGACTTTTTGAGACTGAGTTTTCACTCAGCAGTATGCCTTGCTCATATCAATACTGTAGTCTGTTCCCTTTTTTTTTTTTTTTTTTTTGGCAGTTTTTAGCCGGGGCCAGGTTTGAACCTGTCACCTCTGGTATATGGGGCTGGTGTCCTACTCCTTTGAGCCACAGGTGCTGCCCTCCTCTCCTCCCCGCTTTTTTTGGCTGGGGAGTATTACATGGTATGGATGCACCATGTTTTTTTTAACTATTCACCTGTTGGAGACTGTCTGGATTTTTTCTAGGTTTGACTATTATGCATAAAGTTGCTACGAACCTTTGTATATAGGTTTTTGTGTGAACATAAGTTTTCATTTTTCTGAGATAAATGCCCAGGATTGATTGCTGGATTGTATGGTACGGGTATGTGTAGTTTTTTAAGAAATTGCCAAACTACTTTTTGGAGTGGCTACACCATTTTACATTTCTACCAGAAATGTAGGAGAGATCAGTTTTTCTACCAGCATTTGGTGGCGTCACTGTTTTTGGTTTTAGTTGTCCTATTAGGTGTTCTAATCCGATTGTGGTTTTAATGTGCATTACCCTAATAGCTAATGATGTTGAACATCTTTTTATGTGCTTATTTGCTCTCTGTATACTCTTTGATGAAATATCTATTCATGTCTTTTGCCCGTTTTCTAACTGGGTTACTAGCTTTAATGTTGAACTCTACGAGAGTTCTTTATGTAGTCTAGATACAAGTCCTTCGTCAGGTATGTGACTTGCATGTATATCTTCCCCAGTATATAGCTTGCCCTTTTATCCTTTTACCAGACTCTTTTGCAAAACAAAAGTTTTTAATTTTGATAAAGTCCAAATTATCTATTTTTTTTTCATTGTGTATTATGCTTTTAGTGTCACCTCTAAGAATATTTTGCCTAGGCCTATGTCCCAAAGATTTTCTCTTGGGTTTTCCTCTAAAAGTTTTATAGTTTTAAATTTTCTTTTTCAAATGTAGTTTACTTTTATTCCTCTTAAGAATTTGTATGTCTCAGTGTTGATCTGATAAACAGTTTAGTTGAGTATACATTTATTGCTGTAGAAGTGTGAGATGAACTGTCAGGCATAGTTCTCACTCTCAGGGGCTCACGGATTAGTGAGGGAGCACATGGACATTGACATGTGTTGACTGCTGTGGTGGAGACGTGTAATAGGCTGCAGGAGCTCTGAGCACAGTGGGCTTGCTTTGGTCCAGGTTGTCAGGGAGGGCTTCCCTGGGCATGTTGCCCGGGCATGGTGGGAATAAAAGTGGTCCTTGCCTTTGATCCCTGTTTGGATATCTTTATTGCCATGGATTTTTCAGTGCGGGCTACTCTGATTCTTGAGCACATGCTGAAGGACTTGGGGTAAACTAAGTGGTTGAGGACTTGAGGAACAGCGGTGGCACAGTCGCTTAAACACGTGGAAAGAGGTGCTCAAATAGTACAAAGAGTGTGAATGAGGTTGAATTGATTGAGCTTTAGAATAGATATTAAAATGAAAAAGTGGTAGCATTTTGCATTGTTTCTAAACAAGTAGATTTGGTTTGCTGCTTCTGCCTCCTGGCTGTGTGACCTCAGGGAATTTTACATGCTGGCATCTCCTGAGTACAAATGAATTATACTTTATGAAGCTGCATGAGAGTAAAATGAAGTAATGCATACAGTGCCTGGCACACTGAAAGCACTCGCATGCCTGCTGCCTTTGTTACTGTTAACACAGTAGAGCATAAATCATTTGTTAACGTTATGCCTGTTCTCCTGTCTCTTACTTCGGGGAACTTGGAATCTCAGCTCTTCCTTGTAGAAGCTTACCTTTTCACAGTTGGGGGCATGTACCAAAATACTATTTATTGAATGAGATTGGAAGCTAGGATGCCCTATTCATAGTCTAGTTCTGTCTATAAATGATACCCTTTTCTCATCCATAAAATTAAGATTTTCTGAGTAAAGAGGGATTTCTTCTATGCACCTGAGCTTAGGAGGTGAGAGGAGTGAGTCGGCCATCACGAGGCTGGTTGAGAGTTTATGGTACTTATTACTTTAGGTACGGTAAGTCAGGGCTGACGTCACCAGGACATGTCCTAAATTTCATAACCAACAGCTACAAATCTGTTTCTTTTCCTTGATGGCCACTTTGTTTCCCAGAGGAAGCTGATTGGGCCTTAGATGTACAATTCTAGGACAGTGGCTCTCTAGTGTGAGTGAGCACCAGGACCACCTGGAGAGCTTATTAAAAATCGGGATGGCTCCCCCCCACCAGCATTCCCCATTTTCATCTCCCCATACTCCCCC